ATTTGTGTGACAGCAGACCAAGAAGCAAACATGATAAAGGTTAATGGTACAAGTAATTGATCCTGTGTTTTAACTTTAGGTTTTTTTCTGCAAAAGTAAATGAGGTAGTTGCAGTACAGCCTATTTGTTCAAAGAAGGAGAAAGACATGGTGAATTCCAAATTAAGAAAGTCATGCTTGTTGTAGGAGAAAAACTGGATGTAGATCTATGACCGAAGTGAAAAGATGAGGACATAGTGACAGTCAGCTAAAATGTCAGATTAAGTATCATCAGAGAAAAGTAGCTCAAGGGTAAACATGTGCATGCAGAAGTATGCAGAAGTATTAATCACAGTCAGGATCTTATCTATAATCAGAGTTAGCCTTTCTCATTACAGCAGTGCAACTGATGTGTAAAAATTATTCAGAAAGCTTCTCAGACATGCTCGTTTCAGCCAGGGTAGAGTTAATTTTCTTCACAGTGGCTGGTATGGGGCTGTGTTTTGGATTTGTGCTGTACACAGTGCTGATAATGGATGTTTTTGTTGCTTCTGAGTAGGGCTTACACAGAGCCAAGGCCTCCTCTGCTTTTCATACTGCCAGACTGGCAAGGGGACTCAGGGTCCATGGGAGGCTGAGAGGTGACAGAGCCAGAGCAGATGACCCCAGCTGGCTGAGGGGACATTGCAGACCATATGATATCATGCTCAGTATGTAAAGTGGGGGGAAGAAGGAGGAAAGAGGTTACATATTGGAATGATGGCGTTTGTCTTCCCAAGTGTAGTGGGTTGAGCTCGGCTGGGTGCCAGATGGCCCCCAAAGCCACTCTATCAGTCCCCTTCCTAGGGGAGGGGAGAAAGGAAGAAAAAATAAGATAGAAAAAAACTCATAGGTTGAGATAATGCAGTTTACTAAAGCAAAACTAACAAACAAACAAACAAAAATTTAAAAAGCAAAAGTTTATGTGTGCATTAGCAAATGGGGGAAAATTAATCTCTACTCCCCAGCAAGCTACTTCCCATGAAACAGGGCTTCAGCATGCATAATGGCAACTCTGGAAGGTACACACTGTAAAATAATGAATGTTCCTCATTCCTCCTCTCTCCCTTAGCTCTTATATCTGAGCTGGCATCATATAGTATGGAATATCCCTTTGGTTAATTTGGGTCAGCTGGCCTAGTTGTGTTGCCTCCCAGAATCTTGTCCACTCCAAGCCCCTTGATGAGAGGAGACAGAAGAAATGTTAGAAAAACAGCTCTGCTCAAGCTGTAGCCAAAACACTGGTGTGTTATCAGCACCTTTCCAACTACCAAAGCAGAGGACAGCACTGTGTAGGCTGCTTGGGCAAATGAGCTCCAGCTCAGACAGACCCAATATATTCTCCACCCCTTATTCCATACCATTTGCATCATACTCAGACGCCACATACTTTATCTATCTTCCAACTGTTCCACTGTATTTATTTCTCATTACTGGAATCCTTTCTTGCCCACAGATACAGCTTAAACTACATCCTTAAACCATCTCTATAAAGCAAACCAAACATACCTTTATATTAACTCCTCTCTCCTGTCCTTTCACAGACAGATATTATTTTCCCATTTCACGGGCTTCCTCCATCCCTCCAGATCCATGACTTGGACTCTACGTCATCAGGATGCATGGTCAGGACAGGAGAAGCGGCTCACCAACACCAGCCCAACAGAGGAACCTCAGCTCTGGTGCCTGGAGCACCTCCTTCCCCTCCTGCACTGATTTTGGTGTCTGCAGAGCTGTTCCTCTCACAAATTCTCATCCTGCTCTTCTCTGGCCACAATTACAACTGTGCAATAGCTTTTCTTTCCTTCTTCTTAAATCCGTTATCACAGAGGCATTACCACCATCTCTGAATGGCCCAGCCTTGACCAGTGGCATGTCTTAAGTGCTGCCAGGGATTGGCTCCGTCTGACATGGAAAAATGTTCTAGCAGCTTCTCACAGAAGCCACCCCTGTAGCTCCTCTGCTCCCAAAGCCTGGCCATGCAAACCCAAGGCACCAAGTAACTCTTAGGTGTGAAGGGGCCCTGCTATCTGGGGAATGGCTGAACACTTACCTGCCCATGGGAAGCAGTGAATTAACTCGTTTTGCTTTGTCTGTGAGCACAGCTTTTGCTTTCCCTATTAAATTGTCTTTATTTTTAAATTGTCTTTATCAACAACCCATGAGTTTTCTAACCCTTACCCTTCTGATTCTCTCTCCCAAGCCTGCTGGTGGGGCAGGGAGCGAGTGGCCACGTGGGGCTAGATTGCTGGCTGGGGTGAAAGTATGACATCAGTGCAGTCATGCAATAAACAAAGGGCTCTCAAAAAAATAGATGAACCAAGAAGGAGAAAGAAAAAAACAACCCAAAAACCCCACAAGTGCCCCCCTCAGGGTGTAGCTGATTATAACTTTTTCTGCTCCAGAAAGTACACTTTATTTTCAATTTCTAGTGTGACATATACCCACCTCCTTAGCCTTGTGCTCAAAATTTACAAAGCTTTATCTTGTCAGCTCTGGGAATTCTCCGACTTTCCTCTGAATATTAGTTACATAATGGCTTCAGCTAAGCAATCAAAGTGGTGATAGGTCAAAAGGAAGATTTGCCTGGGGTGATGCAGGAAGTTGATGGCAAAGCTTGAAGCTGAATACACATTTCTCTGCTATTCTGATAGCACAAAAACCAATAGAGCCTCCTTGACTGTTTGGATTTTGCTGGCTTTTTTCCAAAGAAGCACTGTTTCTGAAGCCAAAGCTATAAAACAGAATGGTATTGAAAGAGATAATAAGCCAAAGAAATATCCCCAAATGGCACTGTTTTCTAGCTCTCAATGGATGTTACTAATATATTATATGTCTTACAATCAATATCTTCTACATGCATACCGTACTTTGTGTCATTTCAACTGCCTGTGAATGTATACAGTTCTTGAGATATTAAGAGGAGTGTGTTAAGTCCAGTCTTTCTCTTGGATTTTACACATCTCACCTTCAAAATACTTAGGTCCAAAAATGCCACAGCTTTTTGGTACTGACATTTCTAGTTACAAAAGATAGACTCGAAAGTCATTGTTCAATCCCTTTGCATCTGCTGTGTGGGACTAAATGACAACTACTGAAAATTTTAGTTGGTAAGTGGCGGTGACAACAAATACAGCACCGAAATTCAGAGGGAAGAATTCAACATTTTTTTGACATTGCAGAACAGTGTAATATTTACTTGTCAACAGTGCAGGATGCAGTAAATAGACTAAGCAAGGAACTAAGAGGGCCAGGACTCCAAGGCCCACTCTTCTGAGGTGACAGCAGTGATTGAGATGACACATCCTGCACTTCACATTGCATTCTTCAGGTTCTTTAGGGGTTATGATTTATCTGTGACTGATTAAGGAATGGGCTAGACATCACGGCATTACTCTTCTCCATGCCATGACATTCTCAGAAATTTCAAAGTTTTTCTCCTGTGAGTTCATCTGGCATCAGCTTATTGAGAAAACGCCTTCAGAACTGAATATGAAGAATCAAGTATTTAAGATGTGAAAAACTGTGAAATGGGCATTTCATTAATAAAAAGGATGATTATGAGTTAATATTAATTATTATTTGCATTATCAGAGTCTAGGCACTGCTGCTTATAATGATGATGCTTTCATGGTACTTTTAAAAAAGGAGCAAAAAGATGTTTCTATCCCTGGAAATTTAGTCTATGACAATTGACAAACTGATGGATCCTGACTGGTGGGGAAAAGAAGAAAGAATTAATAAAAGAATTATGATCATCACAACAGTAACATCCCACCTCAGACATGTGAAGTTCCTATAGCCATGAAAAATGGCTACTCAAAAGCAATTACAGTGAAATTTTATAAGGCAGAGGCAAAGCTATACATATGTTGAATGCCCTATCTGGATATCCACTTCCCTTTAAAGAAGCTCATCAGAAACAGTTTTGCTAAAGAGAAATGTTTATAAAAGTTATTTTTTTTACAGAAGTCATGGGGAACATTGTGAGGACATGGCTTCTCAGTCATGAGTTAACACTTGTCATAATGTATTACAAATGCTATACTGATTTGGACATTGAATTAGCACAGTTTCCTTGGGTTATTTCTCTGAGCAGTCCAAAGAGACATACTATGAACTTGTAATAATTGCTTACTGGTCTTTTATCCAAACTTAGGCACACACCTTTGCCACTGAAAAATACTGGGCTCTGCTTAGGAAATTCATAGTACAACAAATCAGCCTAATACGCAATTTCTACAAGCAGTCTTATTCAAAGCATAAATAAGATAAAAATTGGGATGAGCTAAGATCTTGGGGAGTGCTCTCACTTAATTACCTCTTAACACTTCCCCTACTTTTTTGTTTTACAAGGCCACAGTCTGCTGTCCACCATAAACTGCTGTAACTACTTTCCTCAGAGTAGGAATTGGTTATGATGGCGTATATTACTACTGTTATCACAAGGGCCTAAACCTGAAATGATGCAAACTCATGGTTACTTCCTCTATTCGTTTATTTGTAGAAAAAAAAAGATCATACGACCAGCCCAAACCGGTGGGTTTCACCGATACTTCCACTTCAATGGAGCCGCCGTGAGGGCACATGGCCGCAGCTCTCTCTGCTGACATTCTCACGGGCCGAGGTCCATCGGACCACGGCCATGCGGGGCTGCAGCTGGGAGCTGCCTTGGGGAGGCACCCCCAGCCAGGCCTCCCGGCCCCGCCGCATCCCTCCAGGCCCAGGCCGGCCAGGCGAGCACCGCTCCGGGTCCACCGGCGGAGCCGGGGGTCGCCCGGGCTCCTGGCGGCGCCGGAGTCCCCGAGCGGCCGCCGGGCACCACGGCGGGCGCGGCAGGGGCAGCGGAGCGGAGCCGTGCGGAGGCGGCCCGGCCGGGTCACGCCCGCCCCCGGCCGCGCCACCGCCCCTTCCTGTCATGGCCGCGGCCGGGCAGCAGGAGCTCGGCGGGGCGGCGCGGGCCGGCGCCTTCGGCTGCTGAGCGCCCCGCGGGCGGCGCGGAGCGGGGACGGCCCCAGCCCGGAGCTGGTGGCAGGAGGTGACTGAGGGGCACCGTGCGGGCAGGGCCTGCCGGCGGCTGCCCCAAGGAGCGGTCGTCTCGCAGTCCCGCGGCGGCGGGACGGGGCTGGCGGGGTCCTGCCGGCGTGCGGGTGGGAGCCCGGCTCTGGCCCCGCGGGGTGCGAGCGGAGCAGCCGCTTATTCGGGTGTCCAGGTGCGGAATTTTGTCACTTGTTTGTGTGCACCCCGGGAACGAGCCATCCCCGCGGGAAGAACTACTGCGGAAACGGCGGTCCGGGCTGGTCCCGGCGTGCTCCTTCGGGGCACCCTTCCAAGTTGTAAGAACCACGACAGACATTTGTCCCGCAGTGAGGGTGTGCACGGTAGCACTGCCCGGGAGGTTAAATTCACGCCCTCCCCAGTGTACCGTAGTGTGTCCGTGCTCACGGATCCCCATGGTAGCCGGTGTTAGGATGTGAGGGTGTGTGATGAGCAGCAGCCATCAGGCCCTAAACACCTGGTGAAACAGGCCCGCGTAGCAAAGCACCAGGTAAGCAGGCTCCGGTAGCTGCAGGCAAGGGAGCCTGTTTTGACTTTACCTCATGGTAAATAATTCTTCAAAAGATTTGTTTCCACTGAGTTACATAACAAGATAGCAAATCCACTGTGGCTGTCTCATGATAATAAGTAATTTACTTTTGTAATTGGGAAGATAAAACCTAAATTTCATGAGTCCCACATAGACACCTGTAATGCATCAGTAAGTTGGTTTTTGGCAAGCCCGGGCAGAAGGAAGGAAAATCTTGTAACGTTCCTTTTGTTTTCCTTGTAGATACCAGTGAACTACCTGCTGTCCACCACTTTCTTCATTTAACTTCCCCTTGGGGTCAGCTGGTCATCAGGATGCCTTCAACCAAGAACACCTCCAAGCTTTTCCTGATCCTCATGTCACTGCTGCTGGTGCTGCCGGTAGTTGAAGCCCTGGACGCAGGAGATACCATTGCCTTCCTCCTGGGCCTCGCTGTCAGTGTCATCGGATTCTGCGCCTGCCTCGGCTTGTATGCAAGGAGAAGGAATGGGCAGCAGTGACTTCAAGAAAATGCTCAGATGAAGTGAATTTCCAAACACAGCTTGGGGTTGGGTGTAAGACTGAGCTTTGGTTCTGGATAACTTTCAAAAAATATGTAGTAGATATTTCTGCAAACCTCTCTTACTGTTCAGTACAACAGAGTCAGGACAGTACCCAGTAAAAGGGATTCATATGATCTATCCTCATTCCAAAAAGATAATTTTATATTGTCTGTGGTTAAATACTGCCTTAGAGAAGGGTGAAAACTTTCTGAATGGGGAAGTAAAACTATAGAGTGGCTCAGAGTAAAAGTTTATAAATTTAGCATGTGAGGGAGGCCATCAACAAGTTCTGTAATTTTGGTTTCAATGGTTAATCAGGAGGACACAGCTATTAATCTTCCAGTCAAGATGACAAGAGTTTTTAAATTAGTCCTAACTAGATAGCTAGTGAGCAGACTGCTCTAACTTCTGTGTTCACTCTCACATTCTCTCTAATGACAGTTAACACCTAACAGCTCACTTCTGCTGTCACATGGATGAGACTTTATAGAACTAAGGAAACATAAAGGCTTTTTTTTCGTTTAGAATATTTTTAGAGTATTTTTATTTTAGAATATGACGTTCCTGTAGCCTGTGTTCTTATTACCAAGTAGATACAACTAAGAATGAGATCACCATTTTTATTTAATATGTACTTCACAGAAAAGTGCATATAAGGCTATATAAATCAGATTAGGGATATGGGCTTTGTCTCTTGTTTATTTTTTGTACTCAGCTTTTTCTAGGCACATCGGGTTTAAGGCTTAGTTCATTTGGTGTTTGTACCTTTTTCTTCAAAACTGAAGACTTAACTACTTTGATGAGGAATTCTGCATATTTCTGCATTAGAAGGTTATTAGAATTATAACAAGACCATTGTGCACATGTGTTTTTTTTACAATGTAGAAAGAACTTGTTAAAATCCTGGGTTTAGTCAATTACTGCATTGTTCTTGAGTGTATTCCTTGTGACAAACCTATGTTGCTAGCTAAACATTTAAGCTTCTCTAACTCATGCATATGGCTTCCACAGATTAGGACCAAAACCAAAGTAAAATATCTTGGTGCAAAATGGGAGATGTAAGTAGTCTTATTCTGTTCATGCTCAGTCAGATTGTGTGGAATATGGTTGAAAGACAGTGGTGTGTCTAGGACCTGTTTCTTAAGTACCAAAGGTAAAATGGTTCAGCCAAGAATGTCTGCCACAAGTCTCTCTGACTTAGGGTGTTTTAGCTTGAGCTAAGCAGCACAATCTGTAACGGCAGCAGAGGAGCATAAGAAGGAGCATAGGAAGATGAACTCTCCACACTTCACAGAATTTCCTTCTGATTTTGTGCTGTCACTGCCAGTCTTTGCTAGAAATCTTGGCTTTTATCTTTCAGAGTTACCTATATTGATACTATTCTTCCACTTCCTCTGTGTCTCTGTTCAGTAGAGCACAAAGCAATGGCTATGGGCAGGTCTTATGTAAGTAATTGGGCGGGCAGATCGTGTTCTCCAGATCCTGATTTCTGCATGCCATTTTTGGCAAAAAGGGACACAATGTACAATTACTATGTACAAAGGAAATTTACAGCCCTAAGAGGAGCTTCAGACAGAAGTGTCATCTTTGAAAGCTGCCTAGCAGCAGTAGATGATCCTGTACATGATAATTCAACTGGGTTGGGTGCAAGCACAGATCGCAGTGTGATCTTTGATGTTCCAGCTTAGCTAAGCAAAAAAAAAGCAAAAAGCAAACAAAACAAAAATAACGAGTAAAACCTCCCACAAAATTGCCACTCAATTCACTATAGTTCTCAAAGTTAAAAAAATTTTGTCATATTTTCAGTAAAATATTAAATATTGCTCTTCCAATAGAATAACAAGCAGATAACACAAGCAGATTTTCACAGACTCCTTTATCTACACCTTGAGAATGATCCCTGGCAATAGTTGCACGGAATCGGGCAACAGTTTCACTGCAGGAAAGCAAAATTTTAACAGAGTTAATTATTTTCAGGCAATAGGAATGTGAGAAATTGTATTATTTGCCCAAAGCTGTATGTACTTCATTGAAAGGTGTTTGCACAGCATAATAGCTTTATTTCTTGGGTTCTGATAGAAGCTTTATTGTTAAAGACTTGAGTTTGTCAATTACCTGAGTGTAAAATCAGATACCTCTGTTCTTCCTCTATCTTAATAAACTTTGGCGTATGATTTGTCATCAGCTTGATGAAGTAATTCTTATGAAAAGGAAAATTGAGATGATAGAAATGACTGTAACTATTGAAATTCCGTCTGTTGGCTATTATTTTCTTACCTACTTTTGCTTATGTTAGATAACTTTATGAACTAATGTATCATAAGGTATGATTTCAGTTAACATTTGTGCAGTGATTGTACTTCCCTTGGTCCTACTGCTTGTTTATCCCATTTCAGTAACTGCTACTTTAAAGCATTTCAGGGAGCTGGTCGCCTTACTTTCACACAGTCAGCTTGTAGTTGCAAAGAATCCTGGTACAAGGAAAACTTGAAGTATTTCTTTTTCCTTTTGACTCTGAATTTTCAACATATCTTATGTAGTTGCCTTTATACCCAAAAAGCTATTTATGTCAGTTTTCTAGCTGGAGACACAAGGATATAAAAGACCATTTTCCATTGTTTGGGGTTTTTTTTCCTTTTAATGAAATACTATGTTCTATTGCTTTAGTTATTTGAATTTTTCTTCTTTTTAACTTTAAAAGATCTAGTTTTATCCCAGCATTTTGTGAAAACAGGGTTCTAGCTCTTTCAGGATTTCAGCTACTGCACAAATCAGTTCACTCTGTGCACTAAGCTAATACTATTAGTAGCTGTTTTCAGAGCAGAAAGTAGAAACAGCCTGACAATGTCCACCTCTTAACAAACACGACCTTCTCTCTGATAAAAAAACCTGCAAAACAAGAAAGAGTAGCTTTTGACTGCTATGATTTCCATATGCTCTAGCAACAGTGTAGCTAAAAAAACAGCCACCCTAAAACATTTAACAGTCCAGGTACAGTCTCTTTGTGAATGGACAGAAGGCCTTCACTTCTGACATACCTTCAGGTGCTGCACACCAGCTAGGCTTTACCATTCTGCTCCATACAGCAGTACCTGGGGCTGGAATACAAAGGCTTCACACAGTTCCTAATGCACTTGCTTCTCTGGGTGTATGAACGCTGGTAAACCTCTTTTTCCTACTCTGATAAATCCTGCTGCTGCTGGTGATGCTGCTTTAACACTTTTGTGAGACCTGGCAATTCTATGACATCTTGCTTTTGAGAACCTTTATATGTTTACAGGTATTAATGCTTGCATCCCAGTTGTATCCTTGGGGCAAAGTGAAGCTTATGATGGAGTCACAGGAAGTAGTTGGTGTCTCCAGGATACTCACTGAGTTTTCTGGAGTGTGTTGTGCTTGTGGTTCTCTGCCACTATGTCTTTCCATGGGAGCTGGCCCTGGACTAGCCCAAACTCTTGTGTACTTACTAGACACAGTTAAACACAGTCCAAAGCCCTGGTTCCTCTTTGCATAAGGTTCTTTACGTAAGCTTTGTGAGAAGGGGAGTTCACTGTTTATAACAAGATAAACATGGCTAAATGGATGAACCAGGATGAATGGGTCTGTTAACATAGTAGATGTACTAATTACCATGCTACAAATGTAACCTTTCCATTCATTTCTACGTCTGATGAAAGGTTTGGCAGAGCTAAACTGTGTAATGATGAAATTGTTAGTAGTGGTGGAAAGGAGAGCTTGAGACTGGTTATACTTGAGCAAAAAGTAAATGATCTGAAGTCAACAGGAATTATGTGTTGTTCATCAGATGAAAAAAGTGAGATTACTAATTCAGAACTAAATGCAGCAAAACATATTGGGCAAGATCTGATGTGACTATCGATGCACAGGATCCAGACTACTTAACTCCTGCTGAAATCAATCTTCAGAACTTTCAAGTGACAAGTGTTTAATACATTATACACTGACTACACTGCTAAGTGTTCAATTCTTAAAGAATGTAATCAGTTTTTAAATTGCAAAGATTTTCAGTTCACATGAATACACAGTACCAAATATTACATTTGGAGAAGAAATTTTCCAGCAAGCAGCCTGGAATTTACATACCAGGTATGCTATGGTAAATAGCATAAAAGTACATATTTCTTTGAACTAAAATTAAAAGAACAATAAAATAATACAGGCATTCAAAACATTTCCTGACCTTGTACTGTCTCCTCAGCTCAGTTTCTCTGTAATGGAATTTGAAAATGTGTAGGAAGCTCTGTCACATTAAGTAACAGGCATACTAGACAGACAGCAGAGCCTTTTGGTTCTGGATCATTCATCTGATCAGATCAAAACAGATCCAGTTCCAGCGTCTCATCACCATCAGAGTTAAAAATTTCTTCCTAATATCAAACCTAAATTTCCTTTCTTTCAGTTTGTACCCATTACTCACTATCCTGTCACTACAGTTCCTGACGAAGTGCCCATCTCTGGCTCCCTGTAGGCCTCGCTCAGACATTAGAAGGCTACTCTGAGGTATCTATGTAACCTTCTCTTCTCCAGGCTGAGCAGCCCCAGCTTGCTCAGCCTTTTAGGTGAAGTGCTCCAGTCATCAGCTTCACGGCCCTCCTCTGGACTTGGTCCTAGAGTTAGGCCTTTCTTCTGTTTGGAGCACCAGGACTAGTAGTACCTAGTACCTAGTAGTCCAGGTGGTGTCTCACAAGAGCAGAGTAGAACAGGAGAATCCCCTCCTTCAGCCTGCTGGCTACACTCCTTTTGATACAGCCCAGGACACAGCTGGTTTCATGGGCTGTGAGTGCACACTGCTGATTGTTCATCAACCATTACCTCCAAGTCTTTCTCTGCAGGGGTGCTCTGAATCACCTCTCCACTCAGCCTATAGGTGTGTCTGGGATTGCCCCAACCCAGGTATAGGACCTTGCATTTGGCCTTGTTGAATTTCATGAGAGGAGGTTAACATGGGAACACCACTCGAGCCTGTCAAGGTCCCTCTGGAAGGCGCCCCTTTTCTCTGGTGGGTCATCTGCATGACACAGCTTGGTGTCATCAGCAAATTTGCTGAAGGTGCATTACACAGCATGAGTGAAGGCCAGAAAGCAGAGTGCCATCCATCAGATCTAGGAGCTGCAAACATTAGAGACAGGGAAGAGAGAATTGTGTCCCCAAGCACACTGATGCAGTAATCTAGATGTTGCTGCTGGGTTGGGTTAAAGTTGTTCTGTTTCAGTCTTCCTGTATTAGCCATGTTCCTCCTCACTAGTCATTGTCTTGGAAATTTCAACTGGAACCAAGACTGGCAGCTTTTTCAGCTGCCATTCATTCAAGGCACTAAAATTTTACATAGCTCTTCATACTACTACTCTCTACTTGGCAAGTATAAAAGCATGAAAATTACCTTCTTTTCCTGAAAGGAGCTAAAACACTGCAGAGCAACACAGTTCTGTAAAACTTAGAAGAGAAGGGTCTTTTTCTTCTGTTTTTCCATTCTTCTGTTTGTGCAGCTGATTATACACACTGTGATAGTGCTAATAATAAATAATATAACTCCATGTCATTCCCTACCCTCTCCCAGAAAAGCAACCATCCTAAAACATGACCAATTTTAATCTCAGCAGAATGAAAGTAAAGAAAATGGACACTTTATCAAAATCTGTTCATTTTCCATTTCATGAGTTACCTGTGAAACGAGAATGTCTTTAATTCTAGAACTCTTTAAGGACATTTTCTGCCAACATATTTCTTAATAGATGGTTATGGAAATTATATGCTCAATACCTGCACTTATTTCTCAGTCTTTAACCTGATTGTTCATAAGCCCCATAGTAGCAGTTTTAAATTTTACTTTTTATCTATTCAAATGACCTGGAAGATCAGCAGAAGCCATATTGACACATTTTTCCTCCATAGACATATTTATTTCAGCATCTGCGTGAAAAGCAAGGAACAATTAAGCTTTTTAAAATTTTGATCTTCTCAGAAATGCCATTTGTGATCAGATTCCAAAAGTCTATCTGATACTTGCAGATAGTATATTACCTAAAAAGTGGTCTATATCTATTGAAAAAAAAGTCCTTTTTCATAAAAAGTAATAATAAAAAAAAAATTAAGGATGCTGATTGATTGGAGCAGTAGCCAATAAGAAATCACTATTCAGCACTAAATATCACACAGCCATGTTTCTCATCCTATTGTGTTTGCAGAAAAAAACGTATAAATCACAAAAATATATTTTATATTAAAAATAGACAAAAAGTGTTTTTCAGAGAACAAGTGCATATTATTTAGTAATAATTACAGCTCTAGTGCAAATCTCAATTAAGTCAGCTCAAAAAATTATATTGTCTTAAATTGAAATCAAGTTCTTCTAAAGGGGTGGCCATACTGCCTTCTGAATCCCATATAACTTTGCCCCAACCATCCCCCATGCCAGGGCTATGGCAGCAGGCTGTCCTGATGCACAGGATGCCAGCCAACCTCAAATCCTGCCTAGGAAGTGACAGACAGCTGTGTCTCCCTGCGTGCCAAATGCATGCCCAGGCCAGTGCTACCTCTTGCTCCGTAGATTCATCTCCTACTGTGAAAAAAAGCCAAATAGGTGATGAGCTATTTGTTTAAACATTCAGCAATAGCTGTGTGGGTGATACATCTTTTACCTTCCATGCCAGATTTCACATTTCAAAATTTACTATTGTTGGTACACTTTTTAAAACCTAGTATACAATCTTTTTTTTAAAATACAGCATCCATGTGGGCTGGGGTGCATACATCTAGGAGAAGTAGAAAAGCAAAAGACACTGCCAAATGAAAGGATATTCTAAATTGTCCATCCAAAAAAAGGGAAACAGAAATCATCTTTGGTAAGAGTCTGAGCCAAGAAATGTACAAGGTGACCTCCAGAGGTCCTTTCCAACCTAATTTACTGTATGATTCTGTGAAATCCTAGTTGTAAATGGGATGCATAAACAGAAGCTCAATTCATTCGTATCTTCATTGCAAACAAGGATATATTTGTGGTGAACAAATCTAATCACAGTGTGAGCCCATAGGGAACCTGACTGCAAAAGCTGTGAGGCTGTTCAGTCATCATGTAAGACCACAGGGAAACCAGATGTACCAGGATTCTCCCACTGTGTCTAGTGAAACTCAATCCCTGAGGCATTAAAAGGTTATGGAAAAAG